GGTTCACTCTTTCCTTTCCTAGGTCTGCTAAGTATTCAGTAACTAGTGTTCTGCAGTCACGCGTAACCTTCTGTTAAACAATACTGTTCTGCGGACTCTTCCACCTTTCCGTTCCCTCACCTTTTTCCACTTGGGAATAGATTAACTGAAAACCAATGTCAGAGTGTGTAAGCACAGCTGTGCGTGTGTCTGTCGGGGGGCGCAGTCAAAACAGCCGAAGAAAACCGACGATCTTGCAGGAGTCCTGCACTCGTACATCTTTTAAGTACTTTGAAATGCCTTGTGTTGCTAATTAGGAAAGCCCAGGGCTCGGATTGCAGGCAAAACAAGAAACGGGTGAAACAATGCACAGCAAGCAGGCCTCGCGTTCTGCTGCAGCCAGCTGCTGCTGTCGTTGCAGTGCCTTCTAAAAGAAATATGCTGCGTTGGCCAATGCGCCATATATACGTGAAGGTGTCAAGAAATCGCAAAATATTAGTTGACCTTGTTGGAATCTTCTAAATTCTTTGTTATACTATGTTGGGGCAAAAGTGGGTGAAAGCAAGCTCTTTCTATTTTGCTTTGGTCCATGGCCTCACGTTCGGCCTCACGCAGTCTCTGCATATCCACAGGCTCCTGGAAAGACTGCGCAAGCACAGATCTGGGCGACTGCAAAAAAGCAAGCAAACATGAGGTAGACCAAACAAAAAGCACGGGATAATGACAAGTGTGGAAAGGTTAAAGGATCTGAAAGCGAGTGCAGAGCTGTTAAAGAGAAAGAAAGCCTCTAGGATCCTCTAGGATTCCAAAAACAATCAAGATTCAAAATCATCAGGCGCCTCTGGGCTTTGCTCCCAAGCCTCTCTGTGAAGAAGGCAACTGCCACGTGACGCTATCCACTCTCTCCGTTTTTTTCCGCCGTGTCTCCCTTTCTCTGTGGATAGTTGAAGCAATTAGTAACAAGGGCATTTCTACTAGGAGCAAGGACGCTACTAGGGGTGCTCCTGGCATGACTACCAGTAACAAGAAGCAACTACTCTGGACCAACTGTTGATGTCATCGTTCTCCTGAGCCCTTCTGACCTGTCATTCCAACCAGCCTCTGACCCTTCTGCTCTTCGCTGTCGACGCTTCAATGCTTTTTGGCAAGCTGGGTGTTAGAAGGTATTGAACGCTTTCGACGGAAAAACATACCTTTCAAAAGGAGGCGTTTCAACAACTGGGAAGAAGCACTCTCTTCCCAGCAATCACCATGACCACATTCCAACACGCCTCCTGGTGAACGTGGATCTCTGCTTCGTGTGCCTCCCTTGCCTCTCTAGCTTTGGCAGCCTGTGCTAGGCTCTGAACTGATCGCCAATTAGCTCCAATTGCTTCTCTGTAGTCCTTTACTCCAGCGGCTAAAGCGGCTAGCCTCAGCTTCTTTCTCTGCCTGCAGCCTTTGCTTCTCCTTCCGATTCAATTCTTGGCCACTGGCTTTTGGGGGCATCATTTAATTACGTTTTTACTTTTAATTTGAGGCCTCTTCAGTCATCTATATAACTTCGAGGAAGCTCGATGCTGAACTTATTCAGCAAAGCAACGCACTCAAGCCTCTTCGTAGTTCTTCTTCGCAATTCGTTCTAGCTCTTCTTTTTTCTTCGCAGCCTCAGATTGATAATCCTGCAGGGGAGCTGAGACAAGGTCTTCAAGTGTGCTGCAGTGTGCTTAACAAAAGCTGTTTATCCTGGCTAAATGTGGAGTGCTGCAAATACTCTTTAGGCTGAGGAAAGAAACAGGATGCTGAGCAATGCTGGAATTTGCAGGGTGGCGACGGTGGCGATAGCTTTACCCTGTCCTAGCCCTTCGAGTGCTTCTAACTTTTGACATGCGTTTCGCAGCCGCTTGCAGCACAAAGGTGCGCGTCCTGGTGCCAAATAGAAAAGGTTTCCTTGAGCAATTCCTCGCAGAGCTGCCTGCATTTTCAGGGAGGAAAAAAGGATGCATGACAAACACGAACCTTTGTGCCAGTGTACTCTGGTTTGATCTCCGCCTGTGCATTTTCTCTGCGACAGCTTCCGCCACCCGCTCTGCTTTAGAAACAGCCTGACCGCCAGAAACCAGGCTCTTGGAAACATGCGTCAACCGTAAACTACATCTAAGTAAGTTTCCCTAAAAATCTGGAACCGAATGATTAGCGTGAGCTATCCTGCGTCCATATGTGATAGCTTTCTATCGCTAGTAGCTTACTTCCCCCTCACTTAATTAAGTAGGCACCTACTTAATTTAGGAGGCAGGGCCATGGGCTTGAAAAAACATAAAAACGAGCTGTCAAGCCTTCTCGCTGGGCACACTAGCGCCAGGGCCACTAGGATCGCTACGGGTTGGTCCGCTCGGACCAAGAGGGCTGCTCGGTATCTGCAAAGCCATTGCGCTGCTCGGTTCCTCCTGGATGAGACACTCTATCAGTCCAAAGAGTCGGGACTCTGTGAGAATCTGCAGTGGCCAAAGCCGCTTAAGCCTCGTCATCGTCCAAAAGGGCGCTCTCTTGTAAGGCAGTCTCCAAGAGATTCTTAAGCACCTGGAGCCAAAGCATTCATACACTGCAAACCCAAATCATTAAACACGAAGCGAGCTGCCGGGAATGCCCAAGAATACGTCCAAATAGCCCAGCGTATGGCCCTCATGCTAGTGCCCCTTGGAGTCTCGTGGCCAAGCCGAGCCTGGTCTCTCCCAGTGCTGGTGATCTGTTCCTGGTGACGACGCCAGTCATCGGAGGTCTCAACCTCGTGAAGACTGGGACTAAAAAGTCAAAACAAACCTATTTTAGATGACCTGAAAAGCGCAGTCAACGCAGTTCATGGCACTTCCACAATAAACTGCTGGGTGTTGTTGGCCTGTGTTCTTTCGATTCTTTTTACAATGCTTGTACAAAGACCGTAGGCAGCAGGCTTTTGACAGAGAAGCTACGTACTGTACAAAGGCTCTGTTTGAGCCCCACATCGCTGCTGTCATCACTTCTGGCTTGTGGCTCAGGTGATTATTCGGAAGACATGACCTCAGGGCCCACTTCCATTTCAAGAGCCGAATAGCCCCCCTCCCCGAAGACAAAGCTGAGAGTGCCCGATGTTGGAACATCTGTAAATGTCATAGTTCCCTCCTTCAGCTTGTTATCATTCACACGGTGTTGCACCTGGCTGGCCCGGGAGCTCTTGTTGAGATGGCCATGAGCCTCGCGGAATTGAAATAAGAACAGTTCCACGTCTAAGCGACCTAAGCGACCTTCTGGCTCATCTTGTTTTGCACCCTCCGATGCCCAAAGCAAACGGCTCGCTTCCGACTTCTGCAAGTTGCCAAGTGAACCATCACCTCTGACCGAAAAGTCCAATTCGATGGAGTTTGGCCCTACCTCGCGCACCTCCAAGACGCTACAAACATAGTCCTCATTGTACTTGCTTTGGCCGGGCTCTTTGATTTTCCAGGGTTCTCGTTTCAGAACCATCAACTCAGAGCCTTCCTGGAGGCCAAGCTCCCTCATCGACTTGTCCCCGTGGCTTGAATCAATAGAGGCAGTGCTGCCAATTTGCACATATACTGCGCCCAGTTTCCGCGCTTGTCGTATAAGTTCTGGGGATAGGTGGGCAGTGCCCACATTGGTGGAACATCAGGCATTTTGATTTTGACACCGTTGCAAAGGAATTGCTTCCAAACAGGCTGACATATACATCCATCACATACTCAGCACATAGCAGTGCACATTAAGATATGGCATATGGCTCAAACATACATAACACCTTCCAGCGTTTCATCTAATTATGCCTACTACTGGATGGCAAGCCACCTCAATGCTCACATAGTGGGAACTCAAGTTAGTTTTTTGTTGCATTCATTTTTCAAACATGAAGCTAATCAATAGATCTCAAGAATAGTTGCGATTGCAGATTTGCACCACCTGCAGCCATGCCATGGGCTGGTTTGAAGACCTGGATCAAGCATATACTCTCTTTCTGCGCTGTGGGGAGATTGTCTTCCAGCATGGCACTGGACAAACAATAGCTGCGTTCACAAATGCAATGCGCCTTTTGGCAGGGGTGATTCAGAAGGCTGGGAAAACCTTCTGTTTGACTGCTTGAGCTGCAATGTTCCCACAGCACTGAATGAGCTGCAATAGTGCCACAGCACAGAAGTTTGAGACATATGGAATTTGGTTTGTGGATATTCAAGCGTGTTTTTCACCTGCAAGGTGCCCATCAAAAGCGTGACTGGTGGTGCGGTGCGATGCCATCAACCAAGTATGCTGGTGCCAACTACAACAGCTGGAAGAGGGCACCCTTTCTACAACCTGGCTCAATTGTTTCGATTCATGCGAGTGTAGCTTGACATAATTTAGGGAGAACTAGCCAGCCAGCTAGAGTTTTTGAGAATTGTTTGGAATGGGCTAGGCATCACTCATGAAAGGCACATACACTCACTCAGGGTTCCAATTGACCATCTCTCTTCTGAATCAATTGAGCAAAACGGCTCAAATTTGATAGTGTCGGGTTAGCGGGTAGTGGAAGAAAGAGTTGCCTTGCCAACTTGCCATTGCCAATTGCCAACTTACCAGGTCAGCTACTGTGAGGAATTCCTCGAAGTTGGAGCAAACATTTGCTGGAGTCATGGACCTTGTCTTTGGAGACACATCCAGGATTGCGGCGCCGAGCGGCTCCACTATTGGCAGGGGTCGTAGCAAAGTTGATTTGGCATTGATGCTCATCAGAAGAAATCACTGGAAATCTGCAATCAAAGAAACTTCAATTCAGTTGGGCTACTTGGCAAGTTCTTGTTGGGTTTTGTCGGTGCTGGTAACTGGTGGGAGCTACAGGCTACAGTGCTACTGTCTACTGTACTGTACATTCCTGTGGATGCGGGTGACCGTGTGTGCGTTGGCAGAAGCTGCAACTGCAGCCTGCAGCCCAGCTCAGCCTAGGCTATGATTCCACAACTATGTCAAAAGAAATGATGGTCCTTCAAGAGCATTCTGTCACGCCAATCCTGCCTGTTGTGATTTGTCAACGGACTCAGTTTGGACACTGAGTCAGGATTCAGAAAGCCATTCAGGACTAAGGACTAAGGCTAAGACTGAGGATATATTCAGATGGGGTTGGTGACTGGCCATTGGTGTCACAAGTATATACAGTAATCATATAATCAACTTTCATTTGGTTGGTGCCGCTAGTGACTGTCATCCACTTGCCAGATGTGGTAGTAGGGTTTGCCAGAATTTGGTTCTTTTCTTGCCAGGATAGATGCAGCTCAAGCTGCTTTCTTGCAGGGGCGACAATATGCTGGGCAACAGATCCGCAAACAAGATGCAAGGATCAAGAGGTTGAAGTTCAAACTTCAAGAGATTGCTGACAAACGATCTGTGGGACGGCGGAGGAGGGAGGATGAACTAGTAGTGTGGAATCCAGATGATGAAGACTTGAATTCTGATGAGAGTTCTGATGTGGAGGAAGAATCAGATGCTGGTGATAGTGGCGCGATTGTGAGAGTTGAGCAACTTCATGGACTCAGGATGGAGGCTGGCTTTGCCATCAACAAGCACACCTTTCCCCCAACCACGCTGGGAAGAGGCAGGCTGCTTCTGGGAATGAATGGGACCATGTTTTGCATGACTTGTATGTGCGGGCTGCTGCAGGTGTGCAGTGAGCTGTGTAGACATTTGTAACTGTAGTCACTACATTGGCCGGGCAGCAGATGTAGTGTAGCATGGAATGGATGTTGCAAGAGTCAGCATCAGTTGATGGTTGAAGTTACAGTTGAATGTGTCAAGAGTGGTTCTAAGTTGCTTCAGTGCCAGGTTCCACAGCTTTTGAAAACAAAGCGGCGGCTCTGATTCACATGTTGCGGCTGGAATGCGGTGAGGAATTGCGTCAATACACTCTTCAAGTGGTAGCCACCATTTCTGACCAAGGACAAAGACTGGAGTCTGGAGTCTGGAGTCACCAGTTTCAGCAGTTGGCTGAAGTTTAAGAACCTCTCAGACCGACCTCAGACTCAGACCCTGGGACTTTGACTGTGACTCTGACTGATAACTGAACTCAATTCCAACTCCAATTAATTAGGAGATACTTAGTCGAAGTACTGGTATGATATTTATGAGCATAGGATAATAGGATAGGATCAAGATCATTGGCATAGGCCATAGGCATAGGCTTAGGGCATAGCCATAATTCCATAGGCATCGGCATAGTCAGACAGAGCATCATTTTTGAAACAAAACACGAGTCAAGCCTAGAGTCTAGAGGAGTCTTAAAGCGAATGAATAGCAGTGCCCGCAACTTTGGCCTGTTCTATAGCTTGCAGGAACAGAGCTTGCGTTGGGAAGTATGCCGGAAGTAGACCTACAGCTGCTGCTGGATGATGAGGCTAGGAGCTTGGCAAACTGCCTTGCTGCAACTCAGTTTCAAATTCCAGCAGTGGCTCAGCCGCAAGGGTAGGTGGCTGGTGGTTGTTACTGGTGACTCTGGCCAAGAGGCGGCAAGGGGGTGTTGGTTGGCGGCAGTCGGTTGACTGAGACTGAGACAACCTTTGCTCTTCTTCAGGTGATGGACCAGGACGAGCAAATGAATATGAGCAGCCTGCGTGCTCCGCAGAGCACGCAGAATCCTTGCGCTGCTGTCACTGTCACTGGCCATGATCGTGGGCAGCAGAACCCAAGTGCCTCTGGCCGGCCTCCAGGGTTCTTTGAAGGGGAGAAACTAGCAGTAGTAGGTAGTACTAGGTAGGTAGGGTAGGGGCAGGGTATAGCAGGGTATATAGTAGTTAGTATATGATTATGATGTTATATAATCATTAGACTAAAGACTGCTCTCTTTCATCTTGTTTGTTCAGAAGGGCTGTTCAAGTTCATCATGTGTTTTTCTCTATTATATGTATAATAGTAAAATCGTAATCGTAAACAATATTTATATATATTGTAAATATATTTGGAGACGAAGACGAAGGGGGCGCAGCTCGGTCGGTGTTTCTCTGTCGAATGTTGGTTTCTTTGGCTAGTTTAGGGTTCTCAAAGGCAGTGTATCAAAAGCGTAGCGGTGCCGGTGCCGCCGCGTTTAAATTTTGAGTTCATGTTTTTTTCATCACAAGCTCATTAGTGCTTAGATGTCTTTGTCTTTGTCTAGTCACTTTAGTCTTCCAGTTATACTGTTTTTTTCACTCTTGAAACTCATATTCAATCTGATTTTAGCTTGAGCTTGACTCAGGTGCAAACGACATAATTGAGATCATCCATGATGGGCTGGCTGATGCAAGAAGCACAGAACAAAAGAAGGCAAATGACTTGACTTGGACTCAGACCCGGACTAACTTCAACTGGACTCTCCTCTCCTCTCCTCTAATCTGTCACTGCACTGAACTGGCTGGCTGAAAGGCAAACCCTCCAGAGCTTGGTGGAGAAGGGGACAGGGAAGATCCAAATCCAAGTGCAGTTCATCCTGACGTTTGTTTGTTACCTAAGCTGCAACTATGACACATGACTGACTAGAGCCGGACCAGACTAGAGGGACTAGAGCCACATAACTGAATAACTGTCAAAGACACTGACTCACTCATGCTCAGAAAGTCTACTTGCCACAACCACAGTGCCGCCGACATTACACACATATATATTGCATTACATATATAACGTCACAAGGACAAGGTTGGACAAGGAATAGGAAACTATACCAAAGAGAGAGAGAGAGAGAGCGGGGGGGAGCGTTGGCGAGGGGCAGCAGTCAGATGTCTTCATCTCAAATCAGCG